TTTTTGGGGGAAGAATTGATTTTGAATAGTGATATGATGGGAAATGTGTGGTTGAAAAAGAAGAAAAAAGTATTGATGTGATGGAAAATATTATTTTATTGAAGAATGTGTGGTTGAAAATAAGAATTGATTTGAGAATCAGAAACAAACAGGGCCTTAAATTTATCTATCTAGTTATTGCATACTTGATTATTGATTAATTTTTCGAAAAAAAAATTAAAACCAAATCATCTCCCCCCACCCCACCCCCTCCCTCCCTCCCTCCCTCCCATTTCTCCTCTTGGTTAGCTATTCTTGGACTATAAAAAAAAATAGAGTTGTAAGCGTAAATACTTCAAAATAGTGAAAAATCCGAGCTCAATCAAACCAAACGAACACCAACCAAAGCAAGCTCGACCCACAACTCTTGCACTTAGTTCCCGCCTTTACCAACACCTAGAAAGGATCAAGGTAGTGACTACAATATCACAAAGGGAGGAAGAAATTAAAGGGAGCAATGGTTGAATATCAAGGAAACTCCCAAGATGGCTGCATCTCGTTTTCTCTCCTCTATTGTCGAAATACACACGCACTCACTGACTCACTCTCTCAAGCACCCACAAAGGATAAGGCAATGGTGATAGCAGTATCATGAAGGGAGGAAGAAGATGAAGGGAGTAATGGTTAATCTCAAACTCACCTATGTCGGTTGCCCCTCTCTCTTTCACTCTATTAGTCACCCACAAACCATACAACTCGCTGCTGAGAAAGATGGATATATAGAGCCCTTGTTTAGCCTCCCTTTTAATTAGATTTTGGAAAACAAATGTATTTTAGAATAGTAAGTTTTTAAAAATGTATGGTTAAAAAAGAATGAAAAGTTTTAGATTTACATGTAATATTATTTTATTGAAAAATAAGTTGTTAACAAGAAAAGAGAAAAAAATGAATAATAATTTTAATGAAGTTCAAACAAGGGCAGAATTAGTTTAGGTCACCTCAAAGTTGGGCCATGACACTAAATGGGCCTCAAATTAAATGCCGAGGTAGAGTACAAAATGGGCCAACAAACCAAACCAAAACTAAACACAAAAGGGCTATCCTCAAGTGAATTGGGCTATGAGCAACCTTAACTAATTAAGTTGCTTCCAATTGCCCAAATTGTTTTCTGGTCTAGCCGTCTAGCCAATCACTATGGTATTGATATAATTATCCCAACAATGTTTTAATATCATCGTCCAAATTTGTTAGGTATCAAAACCTAGAGTGATAGGAAATAAGGTTTAAAAGAAGGAGAGAAATTTAGACTATTCATTGTGCGATTTTACTTTTTCTTTCCAACCATTATAAATCATGTCATATGATTCCAAACTTGGACGATCGGTAAGGAAAACTTTGTTTGCCAATGAAGAAGGTAACAAGGAAAAGAGAAAATGAAAGAATATTTTTGTTGACCCCTAAAAATGGTTCCATGAAGTAGCCAACGGAAAATTAGAGACTCGGGTCCTTGTAGATCGAATTGCTATATGCTCAAATCCAACTACTAGTTTTATTGACGAATCAACACAGGGAATGATTTACGGCACTTCCTAGGTTGCGTGGTACATAAAAAGGGGTCGGCCGTGGAGTATCATAGAGAGAATCGAGTTTTACTTTTGATATGTAAATTTGCATTGCCTTTTTACATATGGAGTGTAGGCTTTTTATATCTCATCTTGAACTCACGGGGTCCGTTCGATGGTAGAGGATCTAATGGTTTTCGTTAGAGTCAATCAATCAATCATGTCATTAATGCGTAAATCCCCTTATCTTTTCCCTTGACATAGGATTTGACTGCGTAGGCGTGTAGAGACGGCACGGCAATGTATTGTCTTGTCAATCATTTCATTAAATCTGCTGTTGGTTGACTCACCACCATGTCAAGAGCGAGCTGACGCCTCTGCCAACGGGGATCGAGTGAACAGCATTCGGATTTGGGTGCCTTCGGCATATACAGGGTCGCCTGTTGCTATGCCACCTGTGGGCTCGTCCGCTTGCCATGTAGTACTTATTTTTACGATTATTTATATGGGTAACAATTTTAGCTTGTAAGAAGGGATAAGTACTTTTTCTTTCCTTGACTCCATTACTTGTATTCTTTTCTTGCATAATATTGTCTTACTATTTACTTATAAATAGATGCAGACAACTGAACTCTTTAATTTACTTCTACACCATTTCAGTCTCTTGTAAAATTGTTTTTTACTTTCGTTGACTACACCTTCCCCTTATATGTTAACACCACGCGAACATATTCTTCCTCTTGAAGCATAATGACCAGCCGGAAAATGCAAATTTATGTTTCACAGATTCTATCAAATTGCATTGAAGATGCCTTTAAACGTCACAATAACAATGGTGACAGCAACAATGAGATTGCATCCACACTGAGAGAAATAAAAGTGGATTTTGACAAGGCAAATGAAGTGTTTACTCTACTGAAAGAAGATGCAGTCATGGAGACGTTCCTATCTTTGGAAAAGGACATTATTCAAGGAGCCCACTATTATTTTAATCGCAGGGCCCACCTCCATTATGAGAAATTGTAATCCAATGTTGTAACCCATGTATTGTACATGTAGCATTGTTCATCTCTGATATTGTTCATTTCCTTAGGGAAGTAAGATGTAGCGCACGCAACTTTGTTCCTCGTATTGACAATAAAGTGATCCACAATATCGCTTCATTTGCTATTAAATTAGAATTATGCCTTGCGTATAGGGCACGGTAAGGCCCTCACTGTAGCAGCGGGCCCCACCCCACTGTATTAAAAAAAAAAATGTCCCCCCCCCCCTCCCCCCGCGTGTAACCTGGTAGGGTCGTGGCAGGGTTCTATTAAATTAACTCCTTGAATTCCCTTGTTTAATTTTTGTAATGACAATAGATTTATCATTATATGTTCCAGATTAAAGAAAAAGTTCATCTTCAAATTTGAGAATCATTATACTTTCAGGAGTAATATTCATCTACAAGTTTTGCTTCTTTTCTTTTGTAACTCAAACATCCACAAAAATAGAGTATATATACATAACACAAAAGAAAAAACAGTACAAACTTAGAAAGGGAACACGTAGCTTAGCCCAAAAAAATGGCACAAAATTCTATATCTAATATCACCTTGTCATTATTATGTCACGTGCAAAATATTTAGTCGGCTCATGGTCATCTACAAGTATTATATGCTTTGTATTAAATGGTTAAGACAGTGAATTGTACTTAACTATCAGCAATTCTAACACCATGGCCTAATTTCCTTAATAAGCTAACCCTATTTACTAATTGAACTTTCTTTCTTTTCCTTCCTGCAACACTAAAAGAACCAGGTATTGTAGATTTGATGTCAACAGTTCCAACTTTTTCAAGCCTCTCATCATTATCAAGCGTCTGGTGTAACCTCCAAATCGCTTGCTTTGTTCCACAAAGGTGTCGAAAGAAATAACAGGGGTCAATATTAAAGGAGAGTGAAGACACGATGCCTTTGATCTTGATTGGCCGGAGAAGCTCAATGAACTCCTGTATCTCAGCAAAGCACAAATGATCAGAGTACGGAACTGTGTATATATATTCATGAGATTTTTCAACGCTTCTTAAATCTTCATTTGGTTCATGTGTCTGTGAACCATTGGCAATATCCGTATTCTCATTGCTCTTGTTGAGGCCAGATGTCGAACGAGAGGATCCAAACACATTCCCATTTGCTTTAACGGCTTTCATAGCCCATGGAAGCCCAGATGGCCTAATTCCTATAGTAGGGCGGACAGTATTGAGGCATTCTAAAGTTTCAATGCTAAAACTATAACGAGGAACAGCACGAACTCTGGTTAGAGAGGTTTTAGTTGTAAAGACATCAGGGAATCCAAGAAGATGCATAACTTGCAAGCGTTCCGGCCACACCCAAATCTGTAGTAATACTAAAAGTTAGCTGACACCTTATTGGCGGCATATATAGGTAAAGGTGACATTCAACACAGTATCTTTTACGACATTTATATAATAAAAAAAAGATGAAAAAGCAAATGACTATTATCTTTGAGGAATAACAACAAAGGTATTCTTACTCGTAGCAAAGCCCCATGTATAGTAGAAATGAAGATGCAATCAAATAAAATTGAATAAGTAATGATCAAATAGGCAGATGAAAAATATAGATCATTGTATCAGATTTGAAATCTAGTTGAACTAGTTCTAAATTTTGATATATCTTTTATCTACAAAATTCATAACAACTCTCATGTCTGTCTTCACAGGTCCTTTCTTTTTAGGGGATGGGGGTTCAAATGAGTCGGTGTCAAATCAAATTGTGTAGACAATTTGGTTATCAAAAAAGTACCTTCATGTTCAACGTGCGAGATATATAGAGCAAAAGATCTTCTTTGCCCAATGAATCAATTCCGATAATTATATCATGTTCTGGATGAGCAGTGATGATATCAACAATCTGTAATTAGCCATCGTAAGCTTCATCAAGTGAATCAACCATTCTCAATAAATCAATACCTAGATTTACATTTTACAGCATGGTTTAAAAGCCATAATCTCATGTCATCTTGTGATCAATGGAATATGCTGCTTATTTATTTTCACTTTTTCTTAATGAAATAATAATTAGCTATAATTCTTAATACAGAAGAAAAAATAACATCATTTAGCGCCTGTTTGGCCCCCTATTATTCCACATTATAAAGAGAAGAATAGTAATTCTTTGGAGAATGTGTGGTTAAAAAAGAAGGAAAAAATCTTCAGTTTACGTATAATATTATTTTATTGGAGAATGTGCGGTTGATAAAAAAAGAGAAAAATGAATTATAATTTAGAGTTTGTTTGGGAGGGATTTTAATCCAATTAAATTGAAAATATAACCGTTATTGGATCTCACCCGTCTAATAAAAGTCAACAATAACGGCTAATTTTTCAATTTTAATCCGATTTTAATCCCTCTCAAACAAGCTCTTAATGGGGGCCAAACGGGGGCTTAAAATTTAGCTCACTAGGTCAGGCATAGACTAGGGAGCAAAGAGGAAACAAGAATCCTGTTATAAACTGGTCAACTAGAAGTAGAAAACTGACAACCGTTCTATTGAAACACATGGCCCAATCTCATTATATTCTCTATTTCAGCTGTTTCGTACTTTAATGGGCACAAAATGTAACATAGAAGGGATGAATGTAACTCAAGCCTCTTATAACCCCAATTATTACTTTTCTGGGTTCAGTGTGAGGTTCTAAATTGGCGAGCTCGATACTTTGCATATTTCTTTTAGAAGATACCCAGTCCCCAATCCCAAATGCAGATTGATGCTTATGGAAGATCACAAAAATAAAGACTAAATACTAGATATAACCGTTCACTTTACCCTGCTTGCTTGCCTAAGGCAGTGCAAATTACATCTGTGAAATTTCCAGGATTTGTTTGAATGAGTTTATAAATAACACAATGATAATAAAATTGAGTAAGAGCAGGTGTACTATGGTGAAGTTTGGGGACAAATGTAAAATAATCCATGGTAAAATTAACCAGTTTATGCGAAGATCAATTGCAAGAGAGTGCACATGCACTCGACCAATCTAAGCGTATCATGTAGTTATGTGGACAAACAACATTTACTAGATGGAATTCCCCAATAAAAAGAAATGTACCTCCCTAGCTGCAACTTCACGAGAAGGAAAAGAGAATCTTGGATTGCAGTAAGTATTGTCTAAGTACAGAATGTCGAGCTTCTCATTCTTGAGAGCATTCAGCAGCATGGTTCTTCCAACCTCAAACGTGTTTCTTGATTTTTCCCAGCGAAAGTCTCCAGTATAAAGCATGCAGCCAAATTCACCGCGAAACAAGTACATAACGGAACCTGTCAGATTTAAGGACAGGAATGTAGAGGAATTTAAAGCTTAAAGTCAATATTAGAAGGAAGAATGGAAATATGAATTGGGGGAAAAATGATAGTGTAGCACTAAAGAGATACATTTGCACAACCAAATCAAAAGACACTGTTTAGAAGAACACTCAACAATTTCCACATTAGTTAAGAAAGTATTTAACAAAGTAGAAATCCCAATAAATGTTTCTTATAATCATTAAAGATTTCCAGGGAGTTCAGTAAATATTATAAATAGGCTACAAACTTCTAATTGTGTACAAGTAATTTTCCAAACAACCGAATATTGATCATCTCAGACCCAAGGACAACGTTTAGTCAAAACGTCCAGTATACATATGTTTTACCCTATGGTTCAACGGTTGCACCTTGCCCTAACCATATGCGTTCAGTTAATTTAATTGTCAGTAGTGACGGCATTGAAAGAGTGATCATTGAACAAGAAATTAAGATAGTGATAAGGTTCAAGGACAATAAATGTTTTTGAGAAATTAAATTGAACAGTACGCATTAATTGGAAGTGTTTCGTCCAAGATTGAATTGCTCAAGGACCGAGAAGGACATGGACGATGACTAATGGGGTGAAGAAATTGCCGAATATATAGACTTACAGTTTTTAAATTATATATATTAGTGGTTCATGTAAATATGTAATGGAGGCAGGGGGTACTCCCTACTGAGATCAATTTTCAGTTCGCTGACTTTTATGGGCTCTTCTGTAGTTCCAAATCACAACTTACAAGTATTCTTATCATGTTAATTCTTACACATTATGCCATGTGAAAATAAATCACAACTTTTTTATTACATAAATACAACAGAAACAATGATAGTGTTTTTTTTTCCCAAATATCACTACTACTTATGGAACCAAATTCAGCAGGGAAGCCACAATTGTAGCCCCATTATTACAGAGTTCGTTGGAATGTACAAACAAAGAAATGCAATATCCCAATTCACAAGCTGTAGCCAACACCAAGTGCCACAACTACAGCACAATTTCATTGAGACTATAAATCAAACACTTTCCTAGCAAACAACAAATAACATAAAATAACAACAATAGACAGCAGAATTCACTTACCAGGGCAATGATTCGCGTCAATGGCCATGACATATACAGTAGTGGCGGAGCCAGAGGTAGGGGATACCAAAGAAAGAGAGTGCCAGCAGCCGATTTCCACGACCCTGATAAGCGAAAGATTAAAATCCGGAAACTTGGTGGGGAAAAGCCTGGCTGTATCACGAGAGCAGTAAAGGAGGCCCCGTTTCCATTTTGAGGAGAGACCAACGGTGTGATCAGCATGGAGGTGGGTCAAGAAGTAGACTTGGCTGCCGGAACTCCATTTGTCCACTGATATCATTCCACTCTCCATTTTTTGACAGTTTGATCGTTTACTGGATTCTGAGTGGGCAGTTTCAAATTAATGTTTGATTTGTTGAATTCTTGGGTAAGTGTCCGCTGGGCGGGAGTTTCGATCTTCAAATTTGGAGAAGTGCATGTTGATATTGGCATAGCTCATAATTGCTCAGAAACCCATGAGTAGGGGTGAGGATTGTGTTGATCACGCAAATTTTGGGCCAAACCCGAATCGACCCGATTTGATTCGATTTGGCCAAGGAAAAAATCATAACTCAAGTGTATAATTTACACCAACAGTCCCACTACAGCAACGGGGATTAGATCCAGGATTTAAACCCCGACTGACGTGGCATTGATTTAAAATAAAAAAAATTTTTTAAAGAATGAAAAAAGTATTACCCGGCAGACCACTTCTCCCAAATCACGCCCAAATTGAAACCCTCCCAAACACAAAACGTTCCCCACCCTCAACATCTCCGATCGCACTTCAGACAACGGTACCGTCGTCGCTCAGGCCGCACTTCCATCGTGGGTTTGGCCGTCTCCAGCCTCACCATTTCCGGTCACGCTTGGAACGAAAATTGTCGTCGCTTCGAGGTCACTTCCGTCCAAGTTTCACCGTCATCTTAGATCACCATCACCGGCCGGAAACGGAGGTTATGCATTCTTCATTTCCTAGTTTTGCACTTTTTTTTTTTTGGGTTTTTCACTGAAGCTTATGTAGAAATTTGAACCTTGAGGAAATTGATTATAATTTGAATTTTGTTAAATATGCAAGAGTTTCACCAACCTTCGAGTCAAGAAAGCCCCTTATCACCATTCATCACAGAGGCTGTTTTTATGTGTTCATTCACTGAAATTTGAGGTTTTCGTGCTACTAAATTGGAGGGGTTTCAAAAAACATGGTACATTAGTCATGGAGCAAACCATGTATTTTGCATTGGAACTTGTTGTGAGCAAAAACAAAATGCTATTGCACGAGCAGTTGTGTGAAATTTCAGTTTGCATTTTGTCTGTTTATTCATTATCTAGGTGTTTCATTATAGTGACGTTGAATTCAGTTGAGTTAACTGTGTTTATTCGTATCGTAGAATGGGCGGAAGGAATAGCGGAATGTGTCACATTTGTAGAGCTAAGGGTCATTTTTTTGCCAAATGCCCAAGGAAACGTCAATGCCCGGTCAATAGGGTCATTTTTTTGCCGAATGCCCAAGGAAACGTCAATGCCCGGTCAATCGTCTAGCGACAACGGTTCATCATTAAACCTTGTGACAAATGAAAATGTTGAAGAAATGTTAAGAACGCTGGAATCTCGAGTTCGACTGAACGATGAAGAAGACCTACATATTTCGGTGAACGTCAAAATATGCAAGGCCAATTGTAATGCGGAAGCGAATGCAAAAGGGAAGCGATCGACCTGATTATTAAACGAAAATTAGGAATTTGTAATATATTGAAGATATGATTGCTACAATTTTGAAGACAGGATTGGCAATTTGTATTTGCATCCAATATGCTTGTTTGCTATTTTATCTTCTGTTACTTTGCACTTTCCCTATTTTCATGAATTTTAAGTGCAATTAGTTGTGCCTCTACATAGAAGATTATTAGCTATTCTCTTGTTTGCACTTGGATAACCTGGAATTGTTTTTTGGAGACTGGTATAATTTGATAATATGGCATGTTTGGATAAGTAGTGGAAGGGGAAAATACTTGGATTTATGCTGGATTTGTATGGTTTGGATGGGTTTTCAATGTGAAAATATCAAGGTCAACATGTGCACATGAGACTCTTAATTATTATGTGGGTTTTAATGTGAATGGCACCTAAGAAACTAGTTGCGAAAAATAAGTCAAGTGCATGTAACAAGTCGAATGCAAAGTGCAATTACACCATCATCGGTAACCAATGACTCAGCTACCACAAGCTAACTAATTGGACAATAGCAATTAAATTAAGCCAAGTGTTACATCAATTACAAAGAGTTGTAGTGTACAAATACATATACGCCATGGACCAAACACAGATTCAAGAGATGAGTCCAATTGACAACCAAAAAATTGCACAAAAGTATGAGCAACACAAGAACATGATGGCTAATTTTACACTCCAAAATACAATTGTGAAAACACTACTTCTCTTGTCCGTGACTTCGCTCGCCCTTCAGCTCTCAGCTTTTCCAAAGTCTTCCGGTCATTCCAATCACCTAAAAACCTGTTGTGAAATTAGGAAACAAGTGATGAAGTTCAGCAAGAAGAAAGAAGAAGCTGAGAGAAAGATGAATTCTCTTTATTGATAAACTTGATCGAATGAAAATTACATCAGATAGAAGCCTTACTTATACAAAGAATTGCCGGCTAGAAATAACAACTTAGCTAACTAGATAACAAAAATTGTAAACTAATTGGACAGCAATTAACTCTTAACAGAATGTAGTTAACTATAACTAATTTTCCCTCTTTTCTTTTGCTTTGTCGTTATCTTCCTTCCGTTTCATCTCCATGCTATCAATTCTGGATTCAATACTCCAACAATAGTATTNCAACAAGCAATAGATATACCAAAATCCAAGAGGAATGAAACAATTACAAATCCAGCAAATCTGATTTTAAAATGAAGAGGGCCGTATGTGCTATGTGCTTTATTCTTTCCACAAATAATGATATCATTGTTTGGCTTCAAAATATGAAACTTTGATATACAGTTTAAAAATGGAGAAATATGCTTATTTTACATTGCCCTTAATTCATGGTAATTTGCTTAAATGTTAACGATATACCATTATCTCGATTACCGTACACATCGTTCAAAAAAAGGAATTTAACATTACAAATGTATTTCAACGATTTCGAAAACCAGAAGAAAGAAACTTACTAAAATGGGGACATGATGGATAAGCACAGTTGAATATTGCCACAGTCGTCAAATCTTCGGACTCATGGCGGAGATACACAAGCACGAGTAGAAAACTACTGAACGAAGCTTCAACTAGAGGAGATTGTCGTTCAACAACCGGCTTTCGATGAGTGCTACCTTCCCCGGGAAATTATCACTGGCATTCTGGAAATTTGAGGAGAATCTTGAAAATTGAGGGACACAAACCCGATTTTCCAATTTCAGCTCACCTCAATCATTTACGCATTAGTTCTAATTTGAGGGACTAGGGTTTCCTATATATTTTTAGCTAAATTCCCATTTTGTCCAGCTCACGTGCACCTTCCCTCCATTTTCCCATTTTTCATTTGCCACGTAAGCAAAATTCAAATCCCTGTTTTTAGTCGGTCACGGAGACCTGTGTGAGTAGCATTATTCTTTACACCAATTCACAAATCATGTTTATAGTTAGAAATTTCAAAATTCAGGTATTTATATTATTAATTAAATATGTTTATTAATTAAATATAATAATGGTCACATATACATAAATATAGGTCACAATTTATTTACTGGTCTATCAAATTTTTTATAAGTCACGGATTATTTCGAGATCACATATTAAAATTTTATTGGTCACAAATTAAAAAAAATTACAGGTCACGATTTATCTATTGATCACAGATTTCAAGATTTGTTAGTCACAAATTACTTGTCAAGTCACAGGTTATCAAATTTTAAAGTCACAGTTTAATCTTGGTCACAGATAACCAAGTAATTGGTCAAGTGGTCACACACCACCGTCATCAACACTACCGCCACCGCCTCCACCATCTTCATAGCCGCGAGATCTACCACCATCTCCGTCACTGTTGCCACCATCATCGACACCACATCACCACCACCAACAAAACACCATTTGCAACTACAAACCACCACTGCTACTATCAAATACACTGCCTGATTTAACAAAAATCACCCAAACTATCAGATCCACCACCTCTGTCGCCACCTCAACAAAAATTTCAGCCACCATCAGTCCAACAAAACCACCGCGCCGCTCAAGTTCCTGCAGAAAAAAATCACCACCACCGTCGTATCCAACCACATAAAACACCACCACCGGATGACTATCAACACCACACCGCCGCCGCTCCTGTACACAAAACACCACCACGCCACCATTCACGCGACGCTGCCCCTTGCTGCAGTTCTCGGCAGCCTCGACTCTACTGCGCGAACGGCGTCGACGCTGCTACAGTTCGCGACAACGTCACGACGTTGCCTCGAACTGAGCAGCGTCATCACAACGCTGCCGGCATGGAGAAGCGAGGGAGAAGAATAGGAGAAGGAGGGAGAGAGGGGTAGGGGAAGGCGGCGAGAAAGAGAGAGAGAGTTGGGAAGGGATGAGAGAATTAGGTTATGAATTAGAGTTTTAATATAATACCTGATTTTTGAATAAATAAATTGTATACCTGATTTTTTAAAACCAATCTTTAAACAACTGATTTTTTGTAATTTCCCTTTGGCCAAACTAAAAACAATCCGATCGAGATTGGCATCACAAATCGAACTAATCCAACCCGACTCTGGTTGGTTGGAGGTTGAGTAGGCAGTTTGGGAAAAAAACCCTAAAATTTAAAACCTAAATTTTGTGTGATTGTCAAGAGAATGACGAACTCGCGGAGTTTAAATTTGTGCTGGGGTGGCCACTATTTTCTCCATCGAGGCATTGCTTTGCTCGAGTTCGGATTTTTGCATAAAGCGATGTCGTGGTTGGTCTCGACAATACAACTTCTGCAAAAGTCTAGATTTAGCATAAAGTGCCTCTATAGTTGGCCTTGATGAGAGAGGCAGGTTTTTGGGTTGTGGGTCGAGGAGTGTTTTTGAATCAAAATTCACTACACCCGAAATGATCGATTTATTTTAAGTTTAGCATCCAACCAAACTAACCCTTGAGACTCGAGAAACCGACCTGAACTAAACCAAATTGGGTTGTGTCGTGGCGACTTTTCAAGTTAGTTATTTTAGTGTCCAGCTGTACCCACAACTTTAAACTTCTTTTATTAATGTATTGATATGTTTCGTTGTACATGGACACATGGCTTGTAATTTATTAAAAACTTTGCCAACTATCCAAACATACTATGCTTGGAAGTACAAGAGTTAATTACATTATGAAACTATTGTGCATTTATATTGTGGCTTCGATATGATTGAACAGAGAAATGACTAAGGCTGCGTTTGTTTCTAATTTTTCATCTGATTTTTAGTCATTATCTGATCGTTGCGATGTGTTCCAGCTGTAATATTGACTGTCTCTCTCTCATATGGGGCCCTCATGGATAAGGTAACGGTCAATTTTGTAATTTTAATCTGCAAAAAATAAGAACTAGACACAGCCTAAATTTTCTTATATGTCTCTTCTTTAATATTGTAATGTCGAACATGTCACATGTATCTTTAGTTTTACATGTAAATAGAGATATTATTAGTATTAAAATAACTATGTTTTCTATTGGCTAAATTAGGCAATTTACTATACCCTGCTTCTCTATGCATGGTACGTGGATGGTAAAAAATTAGTGTTTATTGGTAGTGCTTATAAGTTGTAGGCTATACGGATATTGTTGATAATAAGTAGATAATTAGTTATGAATCCTATGTAATGTGTGAATAAAAATTATATTTAACCAACTTAAATTATAATTTAAATATTGTGAAACATGTTCTTACCATTATGTGTATTCTATATTGGTCTACCTCGCTTATCATTCCATTTTTTGTATTACAAGATTTAGGAGCGTAATGGTACATGTTGCAATTTTCTTAAAACGGTATTATGTCACTTACAAACCCAAAACGTTATCCCAGATACATACCTTCACAAATTAAATTTAATATTAAATTTTTTATATTTATTATAATGTTGGGTATAGTACAATTCTCTAGTCAAGGCATAAAGAATTCGTGGTCTGGAATAGTTGAAGTGGCCCATCTGAATCACCTAAAAGTTGTTGAGAACAACCATTCATTCTTAATTTATGAAGTTGTTAAGCTTAATGGATTCCCACAATTATTCTCAACTAATGCGATGGTTTCTCATAGAACCAAGAGTGTTGTTATTCTTGGAGTCAACTATACAAGAATCTCTATGTCTTATGTGACGTTGACATTCTCATTTAAGATTAAGATTGTCGTTTATACTTGTCAACTCTAGCTATGCTTTTTGAATCGTAGCCAAGAAAATAGAGTTAGTTCAGAATATAATAATATATCGAATGGAATGAAAGATTCTCATTCAATTCATCGTACGTCTTACTTTTTAATCTTCGAGAAGTGCGATTCGTAAAAGGTGAAAAATATTATTACGTTTCTTCTACTGTCATCTTTATAAATTCATGGTCCAAATTGTAAGATGAATTAAAAGGACATTTCAATCCCATAATATCTTGACAGTTGTTGGAAGAGTACAAAACCACAGCCACATAGTATCATCACCCATTCATACTTCTCTTGAAAAGCAATCAACAAATTGTCACCACTAATTGTTCCACCTTTCATTCTCACCCTTTTATTCTTAATCATAATTTATTATCTTTGAAAACCGACACCACTCAACTAATCTCGTCCACTTCAAAATTCTTATACTTGTTGTAGAGAAAAATATATATATTTTTAAAATTAGTTATATAAATTTATTTGTCATTATTGTTCAACGCGTATGGTGGTACTAGGTTAGATCCACGATCTTTCAAATCAATTCCTCATGGTAGCCCTCAATATTCACGATCTTGTTCACAACACTTATATATATATTGTGTATTACTTGAATTATCACAATATTATTCACATATCAAAATATTGGCTTAACCTCCGTTTGGTATCGATTAAAATTTTAGATTTTAATTTAAGTTAAAGTCAACAATTCATTTTAATTACATGTGTTATGGATTTCATAACTTTTCAATCACATATTTATCAAAATTTACTAAAAATTTGATTTTAATCCGCACCAAACAGGAGCTTAGCAAGCTTCCAAATCAAATCCTACGATGATGAGAAATGATCTTAATCCAAATTCAATTGAGACTAATATCTCTAAGAATCTATCCAAATCTCATTTGAATAGGATGCGATTTGAAAATCTCTTACCATTCTTACATATGATCAACAATTCAACCGATTTGATATGAATGCACTATTAGGATTAAATATGATCCAAAGTTCACGACATCGAGTATAATTCAATATTTATTAATTATCACGGATTACGCTAATTTTGATATTTTTTTAGTACTAGGGATGACATAAATTATCGAATATAAAAGTTAGAAGATTTGCCATTTGATGTGATTGCCGGCCACGAATTGTTTGCTTAAATTATTGAGAGGCATAAATCGAAAGTTAGGGGCAAAGGCATGCCAAGTGAAATTAATCAACTCCCAGATATTTTCAAAACAAATATTAATATAGTCAAAATATCTCTTAGGTTGCTTCATTAAAATAATCCCTTATTCGGACCAACAAGCAAAAGAAAGAAATAAGGTTCACTAATTTAGGCACGAAAATGACAAAAATGAATTGGTGGTGTCTAACAAATGCTGCAGTCTTCGTTGCATATAGACCACTCAATATATATTTTCTCAATGGTTTTTCTTTATAATTAATTATGGAAACTTGATCTTATCAAATTAATAATGATCAATTGTGTGAATAAACAAATTGAAACATAGGTGTTTTCCCCCAAATTAGGATAAATAGAATAATTATACCATCTAATTTGTCCTATACATAATACCAAACGTGACAAACAAATACATGGCTTGAGGGGAGAGTTGGTTAACAAACCCTTGCTGCCCTGCATGAGTTTTGTCACCAAGTAACTGCTTTGTACCAAAATTGAGGCGTTTGGAACAAACATGAGAGTTGTGACATAGGATTGAGATTGATACAAAAGCAATATCATGCCCTAAGCACACAACAACGTTGTCCATTGTCTAGCCAGCAGTTTTTAAATTCAGTCAACACAATTGGATAAAACTAAAATGAATAAAATTTTAACTATTTTCTTCGTTTCACTACCACCTAATCAATCTTTCTAAAGAAGAAACTCAAGCTAAGTAGAACGATGGCGAGTCACTCGCGGCTCACATCAACTCATCCAAGAGCTAAGAAAAAATATATAAAAATTTAAGCCCCTATTTGTTGTTCATTATTTTGAGAAAATTGAGTTTTGAATGATAATTTTTTGGAGCATTTGAGGTTATAAAGTAAGGAAAAGTTTTGAACTTACATGTAAAATATTTTATTGTATAAATATGTATTTGAAATTGAATAAAAGAATTAAAGAGTTTTGAAATAATGATTATCAAACAAGTGCTAAACTTTTCAATAAAATGGACGAGACGGGAATTTTGAAAACAAGTCGACTCTTGCTCGGTTCACCCAATTTATGAGTGCGAACAGGCTCACTAAGTGGCCAAGCTGAGCTCGAGCCGAGCAACTTGACCCATTTATACAACAAGTGTATCACATTTCTCAACCAAGTACATAATTTGGCGTGTATTCTACATTCAGGGGGTGACAGAGCGACAATTAAAACCTTCTCCTGATGGACAAAAGTCTCGTAAACAAACATTTTGAAAATTCAAAACTTCAAATTTCAAGCCATTGGAACCATAATTAGTAAAGCATATTAACAACCCCAAATATAAAATACTAATATTCCAAGGTAATCAACAAATGCAGCTTTGAAATTGTATGTTCCTCATAGAACCACTAATCACAAAATATTTTATCTCGAGGGGTGTTCGATCCACGTTCCTACAAAATTCATTCTTTCAAAAGTCATTTTAAACTACACAATTTTCAATAAAATAATATTACACGTAATTCCAAAACTTTTCTTATTTATTAACCAAGTATTTTTCATCACATCACCATTTAAAATACATTATTCCCTCTCTAGATAATGTGCATAAAAAAGAGGTATAATATTAGCCCTAAATAAAATAATCAAGAAATTGGCAGATCAAAAACCATCAGCCATCTAACGGTTAAGAAGAGTCGCAGGAGTCGTAATCAACCGTCATGGTGTCGCGGCCGAACTCTGTTGCAACTGATACCATCTCTTCCCGGTGAAATCTCCTTAAGGATTCCAAAATACCCGATTCAGATAACCCTACCCGATCCGTTTGATCAGCCACGGTTTTCCGGATCTTTGTTGGCGCCGGCAAAGGCTCAACTTCTTCCGCCACCATCACTGCGGTGGCATACGGCGGTGTATGCACTTGTGGTTGAGACGACGAGCAGCCGTGATCTTCCTGTCATTTTGACTCAAAATTTTCACCATTTCGATCTCAAAAAATCATGATAAACAAACGAAGCAAAAAATGAAAATTTTTTCATACATTTGAAATTTCCTCACGCGTTCTCTTCATTCGAACCTCTCTTTCGCCGATTATCGAACCTTCGCTACTTGAAGAACTCACCGGCGGCGGTGAAGTGGTTGACCACGGAACTACCTGATTCTCCTCCTCCTCCTCTTCATCCTCAGTTTCATCTTCGTTTTCCACATTGCTTTCGTCATCCTCTTCTTCTTCCTCTTCCGTCGTGACTGTTCCGTTGACACACTTTTCACACACAGAAACTGTGGGAGTCAGTTTCGAACCGGAGGCGGACCACGGCATCGGCGACTGACATACGTGACAAAGCAGATTCCTCGAGTGCCTAGCCACCAGGAAGTTCGCTGAGTGCACCTTCGCGTCGCAGTCCCAGCACAAACTCGCCTGGTCCGACTCACAGTATATCCGAGCCATTCCTTTACACAATACGCACCTTTTCATCTCGCCTAAATCTCCAAAAATCCTCTTGAATTTTCAATTTTTAGGCCAAAAAATGGTGAGAGAAAAATGGAAAACTAGAAGAGAGAGGAGAAAAAACTGATGAGAAAGAGGAAGCAACTTCTACAATTCAACCAGCAGTCAGCTACTTGAGAAGGACCGTTACATCGCATTGAATTACTAAACTGCCCCGAAACACTAAGGGCTGTTTGATAGACCTTATTTTCCATGGAAGTTGAAAATGAAATTCTATTTCATACTTATGCCATGTTCGATGACATTTTTTTTCCCTCAAATTGGTTTTCCACATTTGCTAGTTTTCTTGGTTTTAATTGAATTGAAATTCCCATCTTTTAGGTTTTTTTTTAGCAATAGAAACAAATTCTATCCCCAATTGTAAAAAAAATTATCCCTTTAATTGACAATTTTCATGTAAAACAAAGTCAAACGAAAGCCAAAAATTTTCCAATTTTTTTTTTATGCAATCCAAACAAATTATATCACTTTAATTGACAATTTCCATAAAAAACAAAACCAAACGAAAAGATAGAAAATTTCAACATTTTCAGATGGAAGATTATACCAATCAAACACAATTAATTGAAAATTCTCAATAAAACAAATTCTAGATAATTCAATTCACTGCAATTGGTTTTCTTTCCATCCAAATTCATCTAGGGTGTGTTTGAAATAGTAAATCGATGGAAAATATGTGATTAACAAATAAGGAATTTTTTTGAATTTATGTATAATATTATTTTATTGAAAAATGTATGATTGAAACGAAAATAGAGTAAACTGTATTTTGAAAAAAATGAGAATTAAAGGCAAATGGTGTGTTTGATGGATACTATTGAGAAAATAATGTATTTTAAATAATGATATAATGTAAAATATGTGGTTAAAAAGTAAGAAAAATTATAAATGTTATGTAATTATTTTATTAAAAAATGTGTTGTTGAAAATGAGTTTTAAAAATATATATTTTAAAAGAATGTGTACAAAACATAAAAAAAAATAACTTGTAGGGCAATTCCTTCTTACCCGGTTGACAAACATAACCCCACGTGTCTCACATTGATACATGCTCATTTTTTATGTCTTAGGTCTCTGGAAGTCTTTCTTGGTATTTGTTTGGATTTAATTATGATCACTAGAGACGACACGAGAAATTGAAGACTAAAAGCTAAGGAGGAGAAGTGTGAATTTTAGGTGTTTGAAACATACGTGGCATGAAAATTGGTGAATACATAAAGGGCAAAAAAAAAAAAAAAAAAAAAGGAATTTATAGGGGAAAGGAAACATTTTAGACCTAGTTTTCAAGACGTGACGACCAAAATGGGTACTTCTGTTTGCCCATGAGCTAAGGTCCCATGTAAGAATGGAGACATGCCTTTTTAGAGAATAGTTGATGGAAAGTCGGAACGATTTTCATTCATTTATGTTTACATGTAACAACCTAATTGCAACAGAAAAATGATTGGGGACCCAAGTGGTAATTTTTCGGGACTGGATGAGTTTGTAGAATTAAACAGGGGCAATTACGTAATTTCAAAGTTGCGACGGAGATATTTGTTGACACGGGGAATTTGCGGGTCAATGAAACGACATCATTTTGTGGACGGGGGATTGTGTTCCCTGTAGCCGGTGCAAAGAATATTTTGATTGGTTGGTGATGAGGTGGTCAATAGGGAGATTTTGATTTGCTTACGTGGTATAAATGGGGTTCCGTCAGGCCGATGGACCATGTGATGTTTACCTAAAGCCTTGTTGGACAGCCATTACAAACAAGATGAACCACCATCCTTGGTGGCTTCCACCTGCTATGTCCTGAATTTTAGTGAAGGAGGTAAATTACAAGTTATGCGTCCAAAGGTACATGGTGGAAAGTTACTTGTATACTTACACTTATCCAATGGCCAAATCCATATATCAGGACTCGAACCCTTAACGCAGCAGCCTCAAGCAAAATTGGAGTTTTTCCACATTCCCCTTTTACCAGTTAGAGATGTGCCCTGGGGGCGGTCCGCCATTATAAAATAGTAAGTTGATAGAGAATGTATGGTTAAAAAGTAAATAAATTTTATTGATTTGTGTGTAAAATATTTTTTTTGTGACAGTGTGATGGAAAATGGTACTGTAAAAAATAATTTAAAATTTTAAAGGATGACAAATAGTGGCTAATTGTTATTTGAATCATGTTAAGTGTACATCTCACTGGTTACATCATTGTGTGCAAATTTAATAAGTGTAGGGCAGAAAGTATGTTATTTTTAAAAACTATCTAATCATGTACCGATAGTGGTGGCAAATGAGCCGAGCGGCTCGTCGGCTCGCCCGCTCGGCTCGTACTGTTCACGCCCA